ATCAGTAAGTTGTTTCTAGATACCCTGTTGCAGTTAGCTGACATTTAAATACTGAAATGCCATCATGTTGTACAAACCACTTATAGACTAAATGGGTATTTTTGACTAATTAATGTTAACTATGAAAACAGATCTTAACGCTATTCTGCAACTTCAAAGAATATTACAACCATTTTCAATTACATTTATTTAATCTCCACATGAACAGAGAGACGGAGATACCGAAGTTATCATATTCCCTACCTGAAGAGGATGTGCTTCCAATATGGCTGACAATGCTGACGAGACGATAGGAATGAGGGAGGTCTCCTATCTGGAAAATACAATCCAATCATTTGCTTTTAAATATGCTCTTAATTCCACTTAGTTCAGAACAAAAGGCCTTACAGCATGTTAGAATATGGTTTTGGGTACTCTGTACACAAAGTTCAGCTGTTTGAGAAATGTGATCAAGGAACATAAGAACTGCCACACTGCATCAGGCCAGGAGGAAAAAGTGTCCCTTTAAAATTGGAAAATGCCATGCGATTTTGTTTTTGTTTCCCCATTCACAATCTGTCAATGGAACAGCAACAAAGCAGTCATTGTTTTGAGATACAAGCTCTCCATTTTGCTTTGCACTGCCATTTGTCTAGACAAGCTATTTCCTGAATGACCACTTTCCATTGATATCAATAAGTCCACAGAGAGAAGTTAAAAGAAAAATCAAAGAGAACTATATTGATTTCCGCAGTATTAAAACAAACCATTTGATAAATGAGGTAAATCAATAGGGAAAGACTGGATTGGTGGCCTAGAGATTCTCTCTTCCCCTGCTCTTGGAGTGTTAAGGAGAAAATGTCCCTCTCCTCTTATTTGGGATGAAGCTCTTCTCATCAACTCAGCCGTGACAATTAAGAACAGATAATGCTGACTGGCTTTAAAGAGATTTCCTGGTCCTCCTCGGTCTGATAGACTGGGGTTCAACAGCGGTGTGAAAACACAGCTCTCTGATGAAGGTTCAGCAATTGGAAGGGAAGTAAAACTTCCCTAAAGGAATTCCCAATAAAAAACATTAATCCTTTCCTTTCTAGATGCCATACAACACTCTCCTTACAAGCAAGATAGACGAGTGACCCTCAGTGGGTCAGACAGCAGGAGTTGTTGCTATATTCCACTCAGGACTCACAAGGCCGGCCTCCTCCACAACTTGCCTGATCTTTAATGGTCCAGGAGCTAGAAACCCACAGCAGTTACTCGCACTATCTGAAATGCTGTTTCTCCCTTTTTGATAATTAAGCAGCCTGTATTTTCACTTGTTTCACACAGCAGAATGCTTCCAGTAGTCAAGTTACTCTGTTTCCCTGTTCCCCTCCCCACCCATAAGATCCCTCACAGCAACCAAGGGGTCTTGGCAGGTCTTCTAACTGTAGGACACGCTCTTATAGAGGGAGATTACTGAACTATACATTGTTTCCCAATACACCTCTACCCCAATATAACATGAATTCGGATATAACGCAGTAAAGCAGCGCTCCGGTCGATCAAAGCAAGTTCGACATAACGCGGTTTCACTTATAACACGGTAAGGTTTTTTGGCTCCCAAGGACAGCATTATATCCGGGTAGAGGTGTACTAATGGGAAGGCTGCTACTTAACAAGGTCCTCTAAGACTGAACAGATGCACTTGCTCCAAAATATCTAGTGGTGAACATGTGAAGAGGCATTAGTTCCCCATTCAGCGCTTGAAACAATGGATCGTCACCTCAGCATTCCTTTTCAGCTCTTCAGCTTCAGCTTCTGAGTACTCCATGTCGAGAACATCCTCAGTCCCAGAGTCCTCATCAGAGCCAACACTGTCCAGAAGGGAGCTGTTAAATTCTAAATGGCACAAAGACACAATGATGCCATGTCAGAATTTTTGGCATATACTGGAAAGCAGACCACAGACGTTACAGACGGTTGGGTTATATTTTTCTTCATAATGAATCTTCATAAACAAACACCAAGGAAATACTAAAGCTAAAGGCTCTCCCTTCTGAAGAAAGCAAGGGATATTGGAAAATTTACAAAAAACACCTCACATCCCCTCTCTACCCACCCAAAAAAATGTGGTAACTTATGCCGTGACTCTGAATCAAGAAACGGACCCTGAACTGCAGAAAATGCAGAAGTAGCAGCAGCACACACGCCTTTCACCCTCTTTTACAGCAGGGCCGCGTTACAGGGAGCAGAAACAGCAGGGCCGCGTTACAGGGAGCAGAAACAGTCAATGCAAACTTTTTTGCAAATTTCATTTGTCTGCACAGCTGCGTTTTTCAAAAGCTTTGGTGGCCCATGGTCAACATCCACATTAAATGAACTGCACCCATTTTGCTTGGTGATTGGGAAGTTTCCATGGTGAGAAGCATTTCTCTATATTTTAACTAGAAATTCTATTCACAAACTACATTTATCAATTAAAACTGGCATCTAAATCTACTGCTGGCAGCCTCCATCTTTTCATTGTTTATACATGGTGAGAAGGGCTGCTCCCTGCAGGAACTTCCAGAATGCTTGGCTGAGCAAAGTGCACACGGCTTTCTGTTAGAGCCGGAAGGGCTCTCCTACACAGTGTTCTAAACTTTCTGGGACTTTGCAGCTAACCAACTAAAGCTTTTTCCCAGCACTTGTTACAGAAGCACCTAAACTTTTCCCAGATAATTTAAATTTGCATGGTGAGTCCTAATTGGACTCGAGTTCTCTGCTCTTCTCCTCTCCCTGGTTTTTTAAAACTGTCATCATGCCAGCTAGGATGGAAATACTTTGCCAAAAGGAAGGTTCATGCAACTTGCCCTGTAAAGTCAAGACGCTGAATTAGTCTAATCTCCTCAGGTGTGTTCCGCAGTTGAACTCTCTTAAGTGAAAATGCTTTATTGCCAGATCTCATGCTCTTTGTTCCGAGCTTTGTAAGATACATTGTCCCAGGGAAATGCAGGCTGTCCAAGTGAGTCACTCATGGAGACGCAATCACAGAGAATCCTTAGTCCCAAAACACTGATAGTGCTGGGATTACTACACTGTTATAGCATCAACACTGGACCAATAGCACCAACATTGGATCATGTTTAAAAAAAAAAAGAACTGCTGGCTACATGTGAGAAGGGAACAGCAGCGTCATAGTGAAAACGTATTAGCATCCCTGTTAGCAAGTACCTGCTGTCACAATTATGAATGACATGACAGCATGCTTAGAGGCATTTGACAATATTCAGGATGTCAAACAAAATTAAGTGATTGCAAATCAAGAGGATTTTAAATTCCCAGTGCGGGACCCTACCAGCCTACTAAGGGCCGGAAGTGCTGCAGGGGGAATGCACTCAACCACTGCTGGAGAAGGAACCTGCTTTGCCAAAACATCACCCCCAATATCTGATAAAAGAGTGAGGCTGTGGGCTGCAAAGAGAGCCCAAGAATGCAGGACACTGGTTAAGAGTACACGGTAGTAACTGGCTGAATCTTCACAATGTGATGTATCACAGTTGTGAATTATACTTTTACACTGTTGTGTGTTTAATATCGTTTTATTCCTGTTAAAGAGCAGACCCGTGCCTCTTCAATAATAAGCAAGGGAGGACTATTTAAGGAGCCTGGGCAAGATTAGAAGTGAATTTTAAGTAATACTCCTGTATTTCATCATCACAACTGCCCCTCTTCTGGTGTGGGGTTTTTTGGCTTTGTTCTGCCCTACTCATATGCTAGGCCTACAAGACTGTTTAACTGAGCCTTGGGCTGAATGTGTTACCTCAGTTTAGAATGCACGGGCAGCATACCTGCTCACTTTGGGTGCTCTCCAGGGCTACACCTTGCTGTGGATAATCTCTCTGTTCTTTTATTAGATATAAAGCATTTTATCCATGATCCTGGGCAAATCTGTTACATTTAAGTGTATTAAAATGTTAATCCAAAACTACAGAACTATGATAAGCCAGGGCTTTGGGAACTGATTCAGCCAAGAGGGTATTTGCAGTTGTGAGATTGCAGGGGTCTCTCGGCCATAGACAGCTGGCTTTTCGGGAACAAAGAGTTTCAAGATCCAAATATCTGTGTACACAATATTTTTAAAAAACTGAATTAAGGAATGACAAACTACTGCAGTTTTCATGTTAAGAATTTTCACTGGCATTTACTTCCATAACTGAATGAAGTAAAGCTGAATGGAACAGAGCCAACTACAGTCAAACAAAATAAAGGCATGAAATCCCAGCTGCCTTTCAGATGCTCAGAGTTGCAATCACACACATGGATATATGTCCCCTAAAAAGCAGCATTATGGAAGCGGTTAAATAAATTTCACCTTGGAGACTTAATTCAGTAGCTCGTTTAAGGTCATCGTCTTCTTTTTGTTCTCGTGCCTCCTGATGGAAAGAAAACAAAACAAAACAAAAAAACTTAGTTCACTGAGACACTTCGCTGTTTAAAATTCTTGTAGTGTGCTTTTTCTACTGAAACTGCGCGGCTTTGGTTTCTGACACAGTACATTCAAAGTTCCATGTGAAGGAATGTTTACAACCAGCAAGAATCCAATGTTCTAGTGCAACAGGACCTGGGACAAACCTTAATTAAAGCTTGTCAAAGCTACTAAAGCTTGGTATGCAGCAGAGCAAGTCCCCACTAACACCATGAGCGCTCTCTGGATCACTGATCTGAAAAGCATCATAATGAATTTGTGAACCATTTGAAAAGTAAAACCGTCACTTACACATAAAGTTCTGGACCCTACAACAACATTTACACAATTTTCTGCCCAAAGCTAACTGAGGACACAAACCTCAATCAAAAGGTGAAACAATCTGCTACAATTTATTTTAAAATTGCTAAAAAAGAGGGCTTGGCCTACAGCTTAACAAAAATATATAATTCATGGAAAAATGTCTGTATTTCCCAACTATAGAAAAGGATTTTGCAAACGTTACATCAATGAATCTTAACAAGTTGGGATAGATAATAAAAGTGAAACCATCTTTTTTTTGTATCTCTGCCCTGTCTCCTCCCACCACCCTCAAAAGGGGTCTGTGTTGTAGCAACACTGATTCCAGCAGAAGAGACTGGATGTGGCTGCTTCCAAAGCCAGCCGGCACTACTGCATGAACAGGCTCCTTAATTCAGGGTCTGAATGCGTGCCATGTCTGAATCACAGGTGGGGTGGCAGGTCCTCACTATGACTTCACCAGAAGGTAACATTTAAATCCATTTTACATTATTGCCATAGGGGTTTTTCATCTCACCGTTCCAAAAGCACTAGGAATCTACGTGTTAATAGCACAGCTGAAATGAAGCAAATCCATCACTGTGCCTCACAAGGAATTACACTGGAGGGTGGGGAAATTTGCCCCCTGATATCTAGGCCAACCCCATCTCTTACAAGGAGTACCATGATATCTAATATCAACACAAAGCAGACAGGGTGCTCAGTTCAAGGACTTATAACAAATGATCTCCTTCCCTATCACAGTAAACTGTATTGAACTCTATTTGTCTATACAGGAAGGATGAAGGGTTAAGTTGACTCCAAGTTGTCTAGGTATTTCAAACCTGAAAAGAAGTAGGGTTGGCAAAATTAGATTTTTATTTTTTTCTAATGTGGATGATAAAAATAAAAAAATCTATATAAAATATTGTTTTTAATTTTTAAAATGTTTTATTTTTACATCTGCTCAATAGTGCTGGAACAATTTGCATAGTGGGGGTGCTGAGCGCCATTGAATCAAACTGTAAACCCTGCGTATCATGGAAACCACTTCAAGCCAGGGGGCGCAGCAGCACCCCTACTTCCAACACCTATGCAGTTGCTGGAAATGAAGGGCAGGACAGGACAGGGTTGGAGTTAGGGCAGCACTGACAGTGAGGCCCAAGACAACAGGGCACAAGGTGCGGGGGTGGTTGCAGTCCTGGCCATGGGGTGCTGCTGAACAGTTCCTGCTCCCCTCAATGTTTGTGTGCATGAAGGGGAGATGAGCAGTCTGTCCAGTATCTGTGTAACACATTAGCAACCCAGGGGGGCTGTTAGAGCTCTAAATGTTTGCAGATGCAGAAGTAGCACTTCTGTCCCCATTTGTGTTTGACTAGAAGGTTGAGTTAGCCTTTGCAACCCTAAGACTGGACTACATGGGGCTAGAACTGAAGACTATTCAAAAACAGCAGCAAGTGCATAATGCAGCTGTGTGTTTGCTTAGCACAGGTCAGAAGTGCAGTGTGATCTGCACTAGCTCCCACTTTGTTTCAGGGTGTAATTCCAGGTGCTAATATTAACCTAAATGGTTTGGGACCTAATTATCTCAGAAACCTGCCCTTATCCCTCATGTGATACCACAGCAGTTGAGGTCAGAGGAACAGTTTGAGCTAACCGTGTTCTGATTTAAAAAGAGAGCTGCTGGCATGGTTGCCTGAGGGGATGGTCATCTGCATTAGAACCTGCTTCTCCCTCTGTCTCTTGACAGGACACACTGCAAGGCCTTCAAGTGGGGGATGAATTAGGGAGGTGTACGGAAGATAAAGAGTGAGGCTTGTTAAATTTCAATACATAATTAGGTGAGGAACAGCTTTGCCTTTTTTTGTATAGGTGAACCTTTTAAATATCTAGGTGTGATTTTCAAAGTTTATACTAACTGTGATTAATATAGTTAATCTCACCGACTGTACTGGCTAGTGAATTAGAATAATCTTCTGCTCTTCATACTGGTCTCTTCTAGAAGATAAATATTAGCAGTAGAGACAATTTGCAATTATTGTCCAAGCCCAGGGTGAACTTTTATTTTGCCATCAGGTTTCTGATGTTAGAAAAGATGACTTCGGGAAGGGAGTATTAGCTCTTACTTGTTCTTGGAGGCTCTGAGCCAGTGCCTGCTGAAGTTCTTGTTCCTCCCGCTCTCGCTCCATATCGTACTGCTGCAGCCAGTCAACCTCCCCCTGGGAGCCTTCCGGAGTTTTGTTTTCCTTATTCTCATCAAAATCTTTAGTTATCTCAGTGAAATTGGCAGGACCTGAGGAAGCAGAGGACATTTATGCTTTTCTGGTCCCTTGTTTGTTACCATCTAAGTCCTCTTTATGCCCCTGAACTCCTTGGAGCACAGTGGCATCTACTGGTAGAGGGACAACTAATAAATCCTTAGGAATGCCTAAGGATTTGATGAGAGAGGGGAATGTTATAACAAATTTTACAGGTTTGGGACTGAGCAAGGTTTTATCAAAACCCTCTCTCCCCAAACTCTATGCTTTCATTTAAAACCAGCAGCCTTTGCCTAAACAAACATGTCCCATTCTGCTAGGCTTTCACAACTGTGGCCCAAGTTCAGCTAATTGACATTTGCCAGAGTTACAGTACATAGATTTAGACAGTGCTTACATACTATGGTGCCGGCATCATAGAAAAACCTAAAATTAAACCCACTATGTTTCCTCTAAATAAGACTGAGGGAAGCAGCAAAATCTCTTAAACGCTATTAGGGTTTGTCATTTTTTTGCTTCAATTTAGAGCTAGATGATCTACAGATTTTTAAGTAGTATAAAAGCACAAGTAATTTTCAACTGTGTAGTTTACCTTTAAGATCTGTGCAATGGAAAGAGGAAAGAAGCTGTTTTACAAAGCTTATGGAGGGAATATTTGTTGCCATTACTATATGTACCTCTCTTATCTGCAGCATACTTTCAACCCCCAATTGGCTACAGGTAAATGGTCAGAATCCCCCTAAAAAAAACAGCAAGGCCATCTATCTTAATGTGAACCCATCCTTGAATTGGAAAAGCAGACTTCCACATCTGTTCATTAGTTATCAGAGGATTACAGGAAGCAAAATGCCAGCATCTGCAACATCCTGAAAATGCAGGACCACCCGAGTCAGGATTGTAACCCAGCTCTGTCTAATCCTCTTAAATGAATAGCAAAACACAGAATTTTTTAACTCTACTTTTTAAGTCTGTGACTCAGACTTTCATTATAAGGAGCAATACTCCACAAGGTTTCTGGCTATTACACAGCTCTCAGTTATGAGGAGGAGTGGGGAAAGTGTGCCCTCCATCATATCTAAACTAGGTAGGTCTCCCCCTTCACCTGCATTGAAAGTACATGAAATTCAGTGTGATTGTGTAAAATGCACCACAGTAGATATGAATACGGGAGCAGACAAGGTTGTGTGAATTATTTCATGTGTTGACTTCTGACATGAAGTTTCATTTGACAGTACCTGACATTTTGAGCTAACTGCAACCTTCAGTAGAGTAAGGTTTTTGCATTTAATTTCTTAACTCTTAAGAGGAAAAGAAAAGAAAGAAGGAACTTCATCTGACTGCGTTTTCAGGATAGTGGAGTTAGGAAATAATTTGATCCAAAGCAAGTAGCATGAGCAAATTACAAGCTTTTAAAAATTTCTGTTAACCAACTAGAAAAGCTGAGATCCAATTACCCCACACTCAAATCAATGGGGCTTCTTCACAGTGGTAAAGTTAAGCACATTTGTGGGATTTGGGGCCACAATCTGTAAAAGTGTGTTGGGCTTATTCTAAAGGATTTACATAAATATAAAGTACTGTTTTAGGGGGAAAAAAACTTTTTAAAATTGTATACACATGAGGCCAAATTAATTACAATTCTACTTATTTTTCACTATGCATCAGAGGGATATTAGCCTTATCCTTTGAATGTATTAATCATACACAAAAACAACTGTCTTTGGATATTGCTACTATGCTACTCAGGATTGCAACTGATTTGGAGACAGTTATAGAAAATAAAGTGTACTCGGAATATGGAAGAGTAAAACTCTTTTGTTAGTGAATTGACAGAGGTGATTGTTAAACAGGAGATGGAAAAAATCACTAAAACTTTGGTGATGACTAAGTTTAGCAGAGCCACATTACAAGTGTTCGATATTAGAACGTTTTCAAAATTAAATAAACAAAAAGCTTTAAAGACAGGAAAAACTTGATATTCATATTTCTCCATGTACATCAGACACGGCCTACAATCCACTCACATGCAATTCATGCCTCATATATTTCTGATCTGCTGCTGTAAATACCAACTTCTGAGTCACCATAGAATCTGTTCAGTTAAGATAAAGTTACTTCTCATCCTACCTGATTCTGTAGTTGATTTGGGTTTCTCCACCTCTATAGACTGCAGATTTTCTGGCAATTCCTGCACCTCGTCCTCTCCAAAACCAGTGTCTGGGCTGCTTGTGGGTTTATCTTCATCATGGCTCACAGAGAATGAGGCTTCCCTCTTGCTAATCTCTAACACAGCTGCTAGCAACTCATCCTCGCTCATTCCATCGAAACCAGCATTTCCCAAGTCAGAAGATTTATCGCACTCTGGTTTACTTCGTTTTGAAGCCTACAAATGAATGGATTCAGGCTAAAAGGCTTTAAAAAAAATTAAATGTGTGTCATATCCAGTTTGCATTTACTGTGCACATTTCTTTTGGGTTAACCGTCAGGAAGTGGGAGTTTGGGTATCAACCATACTAAATACAGTTCACATATACAGAGTCAATGCAATATGTCTTTAGGGACGAACGTTAACTTTGAATAATAGATCTACACAGTGGTTTTCAAACTTTTTACATTTGTGGACCCCTAAAAAATTTCAATGTGAGGATCCCTTTGAAAATGTTAGACAGTCTGCAGATCCCTAGGGGTCTGCAGATCACAGGCTGAAAACCACTGATCTGCAACCATCAGGATTTGCAAGATGTGCAAGGCTACAGCTCTCTCTCCATCTGTGATCACCACACCTTCCCCTTGTGACACCCTTCCAGGTGGTGGTGAGCCCTCACCCTCTGGTAACCTCCATATATAAGTAGCAAAGTCATCACCAATAGGTGATTAATGAAGCTGGACAGCAGCTGCAAGAGATAAACGCAACTTGAACTGGAAGATGGAAAGAGAACCGCTGAACCTAGGCCAGGATGAGAAGAGAAGGGAAAAGAACTCAGTGTCTCAAATGAGCTTTAGACAGTCTCAGGAGATATGACCAAGACAGGCCAAAATCTGAAGATCAGGGCAGCAAATAGCAATGCATAAAAGAAAAATAAATGGTTCTTTCACAACAGACAGGCCTGTCAACTCTACCCGGAAAACTCAGGCTAACGCTGTATCTTTATGTTGCTGGTCTGTTAGCCAGCTTGTCCACTGCTGCAGTAGCCTTCTATGTTTGTGCTTATCATTCAGCTGAACACACAAGCTGCTGAGACTACAAACTGACCACCACACCGGTTACATAACCACACACTCAGACTAAAGATTATTTCCATCTGTGATGCTGTAGGACACAGGCACAAGACCATGGATAGGAAAGGAAGTTCAAAGAGGAGGGTGAAATTCTAGAGAGAAGAGATGGTCCAGTTAGTGATAACCGGTAGTTGGTCAGGTTCATGCATGTAGGACAAAAAAGAATTTGAAGACCAGCTAGCCAAAGATTCAAAAGTAATAGCAAAAAAAATGTTAAGTACATCAGAAGGAGGAAGCCCACTAACCAACCAGTGGAGCCACTGGACTATCGTGATGCTAAAGGAGCACTCAAGGACAACAAGGCCATTGCAGAAAAACTAAATGAATTCTTTGCATCTGTCTTCACAGCTGAGGATGTGAGGGAGATTCCCAAACCTGAGCCATTCTTTTTAGGTGATAAATCTGAGGAACTGCCCCAGATTGATGTGTTATTAGAGGAGATATTGGAACAAACTGATAAGTCACCAGGACCAGATGTCAAGCTTCAGAGGGGTAGCCGTGTTAGTCTGGATCTGCAAAAGCAGCAAAGAGTCCTGTGGCACCTTATAGACTAACAGACGTACTGGAGCATGAGCTTTCATGGGTGATGACATGCATCCGACGAAGTGGGTATTCACCCACGAAAGCTCATGCTCCAATACGTCTGTTAGTCTATAAGGTGCCACAGGACTCTTTGCCGCTTTTACAGGACCAGATAGTATTCACTCAAGAGTTCTGAAGGAATTCAAATGTGAAATTTTGCAGCGCTACTAACTGTAGTCTGTAACCTTTCATTTAAATCAGCTTCTGTACCAAATGACTGGAAGATAGCTAATGTGATGCCAATTTTTAAAAAGGGCTCCACAAGTGATCCTGGCAACTACAGGCTGGTAAGCCTGACCTCAGTACCGGGCAAACTGGTTGAAACTATAGTAAAGAACAAAACTGTCAGACAGATAGATGAACATACTTTGTTGAGGAAGAGTCAACATGGTTTTTGTAAAGAGAAATCATGCCTCACCAATCTACTAGAATTCTTTGAGGATGTCAACAAGCATGTGGATTAGGAGAATCCAGTGGATATAGTGTACTTACATTTTCAGAAAGCCTTTGACAAGGTCCCTCACCAAAGGCTCTTAAGCAAAGTAAGCAGTCATGGGATAAGAGGAAAGGTGCTCTCATGGATTGGTAACTGGTTAAAAGATAGGACACACAGGGTAGGAATAAAAGGTCAGTTTTCAGAATGGAGAGAGGTAAATAGTGGTGTCCCCCAGGGGTCTATACTGGGACTAGTCCTATTCAACATATTCATAAATGATCTGGAAAAAGGGGTAAACAATGAGGTGGCAAAATCTACAGATGATACAGAACTACTCAAGACAGTTAAGTCCCAGGCAGATTGCGAATTGCTACAAAAGGATCTCGCAAAACTGGGTGACTTGGCAACAAAATGGCAGATGAAATTCAGTGTTGATAAATACAAAGTAATGCATGTTGGAAAACATAATCCCAACTATACATATAAAATGATGGGGTCTAAATTAGCTGTTACCACTCAAGAAAGAGATCTTGGAGTCATGGTGGATAGTTCTCTGAAAACCTCCACTCCATGAGCAGTGGCAGTCAAAAAAGCTAACAGAATGCTAAGAATCATTAAGAAAGGGATAGATAATAAGACAGAAAATATCATATTGCCTCTATATAAATGCACGGTAGGCCCTTATCTTGAATACTGCATACAGATGTGGTTGCCCCATCTAACAAAAGATATATTGGAATTGGAAAAGGTTCAGAAAAGGGCAACAAAAATTATCAGGGTTATGGAACAGCTTCCATATGAGGAGAGATTAATAAGAGTGGGACTTTTCAGCTTGAAAAAGAGGCAACTAAGGGGAGATATGATAGAGGTCTATAAAATCATGACTGGTGTAGAGAAAGTAGATAAGGACGTGTTATTTACTCCTCCTCCTAACACAAGAACTAATGGTCACCAAATGAAATTAATAGGCAGCAGGTTCAAAACAAACAGAAGGAAGTATTTTTTCACACAGCGCACTGTCAACCTGTGGAACTCTTTGCCAAAGGATGTTGTGAAGGCCAAGACTATAACAGGCTTCAAAAATGAACTACATAAGTTCATGGAGGATAGGTCCATCAATGGCTAATAGCCAAGATGGGCAGGGATGGTGTCCAAAGCCTCTGTTTGCCAGAAGCTGGGAATGGGCAACCGGGGATGGATCACTTGATGATTGACTGTTCTGTTCATTCCCTCTGAAGCACCTGGCATTGGCCACTGTCAGCAGACAGGTCTCTGGGCTGGATGGACCTTGGGTCTGATCCAGTAGGGCCGCTCTTATGACCACCAATGCATATGGTTACATACGAGCAAACCAACAGTATAACTACTCAACTCAGCCCCACAGCAATCCTGGGCGACTAGATCTGATTGATTTGCTATTCACATAAATTGGCTGCATTACTCCATTTTTGCAACAACAGCACTGCCATCTTTCTCACCCATCCCTAAAGGAGAGTGGAAATGGAAGCACTCTTATCAGTTAAGGCAGATGCAAAGTAGAACCCTCAAAGTTTGTCTTACTTGCCATTCTAGGATGTCATTCCCCTCCCATACAATCCCGATTCATCTCCGTTCTACTGCACTTACAATGCCATTGTACAGGCAAGAAGCTTCTTTGGATGCAGCCAACATCTGCCACAACAGACCTCACAGGCAGAATGTATTGAATTATTCCCCCATACCAGAAACTAGGTCTCTAAACATTTCTAAGCACTTATCACCAGAGACTGACAGCTTTACTTTTCAATCAGCTAAGAGACACAGAGTCCAAAACACTTAACTTGGGGGTCCACAAACTCATTCCAATTGTATGTTATTATTTTTCTTCCCCATCCTCAATGCATACCCTGGCCCCAAGATTTAAACAAAGAATTTTACTGGATAATTATTACCAGTGACTAACTTTCATCCTATTTCAGTCAGGGAGCAGCTTCAAGAGAAGGCAATTCAAATACCCGCTAAGGACTGAATAGTAAAACAGTTGTGCAGCTGACACACCTAAGCTAAAGACTTCAGTGCAGTTCTAATACAAATACCTCTGCTGCCAATGGGATCCCAAGCCAACACATAGAGAGGTCAATCAGATGGCCTGGCAAAGCAGCATAATTGTGCTAATTATGAACCAATCTTGTATTTACATCTGTTTTATTCACAGTCTGATAGACTCTGACAGCCCAGACACAAACATATAAGGGATTTTTTCCGTGTGAAAGGAAAAGGGTATGTTTTCCCCTCTCAATAACAGAAAATGCACATGTATTGTAAATCCTACAGAGAGGAAAGAATCTTTTACCTTTTCAGGCTCTTCTTGCTGTTGCTGCTGTTCTCTGCTCTGTACATCACACAATCTTTGACTGTGAGCAACAGACCGTTTCAATGGCTCATCCTCACTATCTGAATCCACATAGAGTGCCACAGAGCTCTTAGATTTGAATGTATACTTTCTGAAAATTAAAAATACAACTATAATTTCCTAGCACTGTAGAAACCTGTTAAACTTTTAAAAAAGGAAATTTGAGTGTGACAGGTAGGCAGTTATGCAAATTTAGAAGAGACTCCAGTTTCCTATATTTAAAATCTATTTACTTAGCAAATCAATTTTCCATCCTAGCTTACCTACTGGTACATTGGAAGTTACTGTATTCCTTTACCAGGTATTCATTAAAAGAACTTCCCTGCACTTCTGCGTTTAGGTATTTACAGTGCATGGACAACATTCTATGAACATTCACTTAAGTGGACTCCATTAGAGTACAGAACACATTATTATATGCTGTTTAATTTGGGAAACTTATTTAAACACTTTAATTATTCTCTGAAATCAAGTTGTGTAGATCATAAATAGTGTTGGCAGGACAAAATTTCACACGTGTAATAGTTTTCCCATT